CTGTCTGTGTGTGTGTTTATGTCTGTCTGTCACGAAATTCATAGAGCGTTTTGTAGGCAAGGTCTTGAGCTGAAATTTTGGTCATAGCACCCTACCAGCATGTAGGTAAAAAGAGCAAAAGCACAAGTTGATCCGATATTTGGGACCTTTAAAAACTGCGCGTCAAACGGGCCCACGCGGCTTTTGGCACGCAAAACTAGGTCATTAATTCGACTTTTGCGAAGTCATGATTTGCCTGACAAGTACATCTGCGCCTCATGAATTCTAGCCCAAAAAGTTCTCAAAAAGATTGCTTTTCTGCGACAACAGCGCCAAGAAGTGGAGATCGCTTAAATAGTCGATTTGGCAAGGTTTTACTTCAGACTTGGAAAGATTTTTGCACGGAAATTTAGCTCAAAGTGACTATTATCCAAAACAAATTCAGTAATCTAATCAAATTCGCAGGTGTTCTTTTGCGAAAAGTTTTTTTCCTCTCAAAATTACCGATTTTACGTGGAGATGCTTCAAGAATGAACAGTTGTTTACTATTCATTTGTGATGTTCAGCATCGCAGGGTGGGTTTCAAAGTCATCATTATGCGAACATGAGAAAGGCAAACGGATAGGAGAGCCAGTGCGAACCTCCGCGAAGCGGAGGTGACGCACTGGTGACTTATAATAACGGGCTAAGGGTTGTTTACGTTTGTCTGTGTGTGTGTGAATCTCTGTCTGTCACGAAATTCGTAGTGCGAGTTCCAGCCAACCTTCTGGGCTCAAATTTTGCACAGCGCATGCTACCGCATGAAAATCCAACACGCAAAAGTACGAGCAGATTCGTTGAGTGGATCCCTTAGAAACTGCGCGTCAAAGGGATCCACTTTACGTTTGGGCCGCAACTTTAGTTCCTAATTGCACTTTTTACAGAGTCGCGGATGTTTGTGCCAAGTGAATGTGCAAGTCATGAACTTAGGACCAAAAAAGTAATCAAAGGTCCATTACTTTACAAAAACGGCGCTAAAAAGCATTGGTTGTAATTGGTCAATTTGCCAAGGTTCTACCGGAGCATTTGACGAGATTTTTGCACAGAGATGTAGCCCACGGTGACATTGAATCTTATGGCAAATGCCAAGCCATGAAAACTCCAAAAACCGATTCAAATCAGCATTTGTTCCTTTGGGAGAAGTTTCATTCACGCGAAATTACCGATCTCATATGGAAAAGCTTTTAGAATGAATAGTTGTTTACAAATCATTCGTGATAGTCGGCGTAGCGCGGTGAGCTTCATTGTCACTTTTGTGCGGGAATGAGTAAGCATACAGAAAGTAGGGCCAGTGCGAGCCTCTGCGAAGCAGAGGTGACGCACTGGTGACTTATAATAAAGGACGTGTCTGTCTGTCTGTGTGTGTGTTTATGTCTGTCTGTCACGAAATTCATAGAGCGTTTTGTAGGCAAGGTCTTGAGCTGAAATTTTGGTCATAGCACCCTACCAGCATGTAGGTAAAAAGAGCAAAAGCACAAGTTGATCCGATATTTGGGACCTTTAAAAACTGCGCGTCAAACGGGCCCACGCGGCTTTTGGCACGCAAAACTAGGTCATTAATTCGACTTTTGCGAAGTCATGATTTGCCTGACAAGTACATCTGCGCCTCATGAATTCTAGCCCAAAAAGTTCTCAAAAAGATTGCTTTTCTGCGACAACAGCGCCAAGAAGTGGAGATCGCTTAAATAGTCGATTTGGCAAGGTTTTACTTCAGACTTGGAAAGATTTTTGCACGGAAATTTAGCTCAAAGTGACTATTATCCAAAACAAATTCAGTAATCTAATCAAATTCGCAGGTGTTCTTTTGCGAAAAGTTTTTTTCCTCTCAAAATTACCGATTTTACGTGGAGATGCTTCAAGAATGAACAGTTGTTTACTATTCATTTGTGATGTTCAGCATCGCAGGGTGGGTTTCAAAGTCATCATTATGCGAACATGAGAAAGGCAAACGGATAGGAGAGCCAGTGCGAACCTCCGCGAAGCGGAGGTGACGCACTGGTGACTTATAATAACGGGCTAAAGGGCCGGGCATACTTCACGCGATTTCAGTCGCGACGCGATTTGGCAGTATTCCAACTGTTCATGGCTCATTGTAAGCACATTTAAAATGTACAGAAGATAGGGCATTTTATCCATCCACGTTAGTTATACGCACTATGCATGTGCAGTTTGCTAGTGTTGGATCTGAAGGATTCTGGCGAACTGCCAAATCGCGTGGCGAGTGAAATCGCGTGAAGTATGCCCGGCACTTAAGGATGTTTATGTGACTTTGTCTGTGTGTATGTGTGTGTGTCTATTACGAAATTCGTGGAGCCTGTTCCAGCTAATGTCTTGAGCCCAAATTTTGCATGGCGCATGCTGTCGGTGTAAGAGCTCAACATGCAAAAGCGCGAGCGGATCCGCCGAGTGGATCTCTCAAAAACTGCGCTGCAAACGGATCCACTTGGCTTCTGGCCAGCAAAGTTGGGCTTGTACCACCACTTTTTGCAAAGTCTTGGATATGATTAACAAGCTAATGTACAAGCCATGGTCTTTAGCCCCAAAAAATTGAACTAAAGTTGACTACTTTACGAAAACTGCCGAGAAAAATCAGTTGTGTAAATGTTCAATTTGCCTAGATTTTACCTAATCATTTGGGAAAATTTTTGCGCAGAGATGTAGCTCACGGTGATCACCGTCGTTATGGCGACTACGAAACCATAAAAGTCCAAAAATCGGTTCAAATTTGCACTTATTCTTCTCGGAAAAGTTTCATCCACGCGAAAATGCCGATCTCACACAAAAAAGCTTTCGGAATGGGTAGTTGTTTACAATTCATTCGTGATAGTCTGCATAGCGCGGTAAGTTTCAATGTCACTATTATGCGGGATTGAGCAAGGCATACAGAAAGTAGGGCCAGTGCGAGCCTCTGCGAAGCAGAGACGACGCACTGGTTCATGATATTATCTGTAACCATACAGATTGCATATTGCACTTTGACAGAGAATATGAGTTTATCCTGTCATTTTGTCATGGTGTCTGGCAAACAATGAAGAAGAACTCAACGGCAAAGCGCGTATGCAGAGATTTAAGAGCATTGATAGAGTAGCAGAAAGGACCAGCCTTAAAACTGCACCTAGTGAATAAAGAGCCATGCTTGGAAATGTTGCAGGAAGATCCCTACGATTTTCATGATGAGACTGACATTAGAATTTCAATATTTTTGAACCTGTCTGTACCGTAAACGAAGAAGAATGTCTGTTTGTCATGTGTCTATGTGTCTGTGTATCTAGGAATGAGAAAATTGCATCTCTGATCCAATCCGAACAAAACTTTGCATACAACTTCGGAGCGAAGCGGGGGTTGTAAGCAGGGCCCGGCACGAGGTTGTCAAAAGGGGTTTTCGAAAACGAATTGTTCTTTGGCCCAAAATTTTTTTACGAAATCCCATTTGATCCAAAAACTGCTCCGAGTGATTGTGCGGTGAACACTTTACCCAAAAAACAAGTTTTATTAGAGAAAAAAACAAAAACAATTTATTCTTAACAAAAAAAAAACAGAGATCATATTAGAGATCTCTGCAGTAAGGTCAATGAAAGAAATCTGCACCGGCAGCTGAGGGGGGGGGGATGTATGCTGGCACGATGCACGATTCGTTAATACGATGCTGTCCAGTTTGGAGGAGTATTTATCAGTCGTGAGTGAGTCAATTGCGCTGCTGATAAAGCAGTGTCTCAGTTAGGCCCCAAAATCGGTTTCCACGTGATGCCTTGCCCAAATTTACCTGAACGCTGCCTTTAAAGGCAGTAGGTCGGCAGAATGAGACCCGCGGCAAAACAAGCTCACAGGGTAGGAGCCCCCATAATGGAACCTATGGGCCAAAATTCGATTTTTCTCTGTCACTTCTAACCCCCGAAATTTCAAAGCGAATGCAGCGCTCATCTCCTGTCCTCTCCGAACCCGCCCACCCCATGGACGAGTGAACGCGAAGCCCGTTATGGCGAAGACGCAGAGTCGTTGCGGGATCTCATGCTTATAGCATTGCGGCTGGCGCTCTGACCGCGGAAGTCACTCGTCCATGGGGTGGGCGGGTTCGGAGAGGACAGGAGATGAGCGCTGCTTTCGCTTTGAAATTTCGGGGGTTAGAAGTGGCAGAGAAAGATCGAACTTTGGCCCATAGGTTCCATTATGGGGCTCCTACCCTGTGACCTTGTTTTGCCAGGGGTCTCATCCCGCCGACCCACTGCCTTTAAGATCGAAGTGATAAGGCATTCACCAAAGAACCAATCCTGATGGTACTTATTTGATCTACAGAGGCAGGACCAAAGTAAACGTGATTGCGCCACTTCTGCAATCAAATCATATAGCGCGTTGTGCAAAAAAGCTTTTTCGAAAAGTGACAAATGCTTTGCGCAAACAATGTTCGACTTGTCATGAGATAGAGAGTGGGCCGGACTACCGGGCGCGCATTGGGTTCGAATCTAGCGGGATTCAACGAGAAAAGTACACATTTAGAACCCAATAATCTAGCCCTGAAGATCGTCCTTTCACACACTTCTGACAACTTCTGTGAGTGGTGCAGTAGGCTTTGGTGTAGATATCGTTCATTGATACGTACGCTTACTACATCGTTGGGAGACACGGGATGAACGGTATCAAAAAAAATTCTTTGATTTATGCAGCTAATCGGCACATCCACAGCTCCCCTACCTTTTACCTACTGCAGAAAAGAATCAAAAGGTCGACATTAAACTTTACTCTTGCAAAAGATCTGCGGTAAAATCTCAACTTATCAAGATAACTTGCAATGGATAAGGAGAAGAAACCAGATCAGCGTTCAAAACCGCACATTTTGGAATGCAGTCACTATAAATGACCACCGCCAGAAATTTCATACATTTATCATTGTAGCAAATGTTTTTGGCAAACTTAGCTATTCAGAAACTGCTCAATCAAAGCAAAGTCACACAAATATGGAGAAGAAACATAAATAAAAAATCAAAAGCCTCTACTCAAGAGAGAACGGAGAGATAAAAAGCTGGATATAAGAAGCTTTCCATCTAAACGCAAACAAGTCAGTGCTTTAGGTAAATGGTAAATCGCTACAGTCCTCATCAATTAACCGGATCAGTTCTGGTGCCATATATGCCAACCAATGTGATGATGTCCATATAGCGTTATTCCTGAAACAAGCTGGCAATTACGATAAAACTTCCACTGAAGTTTCTCGGCTTACCTTCGTGGATAGCGTAATCGTCCCATGCTGAAGAGTCCGAAATTGGTGATAACGTCCTTGTTTTTGCTTTCAATGAAGATGTTTTTCGAGCGGAGATCTTTATGAATAATCTTCTTCTGACGAAGATATGAGACACCCTGGATAAATACAGCTTATCAAGATTTTGATTACAGATCATAGCCAGCATCCTTAGGCCCCGGACAGACTTCACGCGATTTGATCGTCGCGACTGAATCGCGAAGAGACAACTGTTACGACATCATTCCAAGCCGATCAACTTGCATTTTGATTGTGATACTTTTCCAGCCCGAAATTTCTGAATGTGAAATGAAAATGAATGGAGATGTCGGCGATTGAGTCGCGACGATCAAATCGCGTGAAGTCTGTCCGGGACCTTACCTGACAAATTTGAATAGCTATCACATGTGCGGCCCCTATATCAAGCGGTTTCATGAAAAAGATGGTGTAACGAATAACTCATCACGATGCCATATTTGCCTGCTTCAGGACAATAACCAAGGAATAAGAAGACTATGTTGTCGCGTCGAGTGTTCTAAAGCGAAAAATAGGTTCAAACTTTCAAATTAAACAACTGGTTAGTCATGTAAACTTACTTTGTGGGCCGCTACCTCCGACTTGAACGCATCTAGTCGCCTAGCTTCTTCAAAATGGTTCATGTTGAGAAATTTATTGCTACATCACCAAAATGATGTCCTCGTTGGACCTCAAAAACACTGAATTTTGAAACAGCAAATGAGTTCAAAATACTAACATAACCAAATCGCCCATTAACGACAGCGTTTTTGTCAGAATCAATTTTGTGGAAGAATATTGCGACTTCGTTCCAGCTAACCTGAAAAAATGAGATAGTGTGGAAAAAAAGCAAAATTGTACAGTTTCTAGACTACAGAGAGTTGATACACCATATTTCCAGAAAAATTAAGCAAAAAACAAATAAAAAAGTGAAAATACAACTTAGTAGCAATGCTACCTGCGCATTTGGACCTTGAATAGTGCTCGTGTTCCATCTATTTCCATCTGTGTGGTTTCCTAGAGGTGATTTGCCGCTGGTAGAACCATCACTCGCACCCACTTCAGTCTAAAATACCAATATTGAGAACGGTCACAAAACAGGTTCGATAAAGAGAAAAATCTAACCTGTACAAGGAAATTGAAGAATGCTTATAGGTCTGTACAAGAGAACCAAAAGAATGGCATGTTCACCCCTCCTCTGCCAGTTGAATCCAAGACAACCGTGCCTTCACTACCCTCTACTAGTCGAGAGTACAGTATGACGGGCCTTCACCATAATCGGTAGTGCTACTGGTTCACTCCGACGTGCTATAAGTTCGTGATGAAATCAGAGCGACACTTATAAGACTCAGCGATACGCCGTTCGACTGGAGCGCGCTTTCCTCCTTAGGAAACGGGCCTGCTGAGGCTATTTTTGGCTCTAGCAAAGAGGAGAGGAGGAAGTTTGAGACCAAAATTTCAAGATATACTAATCTTTAGGTGTAGAGTAGATTTATGTAGAAATTTTAAAAAATTATGTGAGTTGAGAGTATTGACACTCTCAGCTTGTCATTAGCTTGTCAAATGACAAGCTAATTTGGAAATAACTTAAGCACGCTCTTCATTCACATAAGTTTTTCATAATATTTCATATTTTGTTACTTAGTCCTACTGCGCAGATACACACCAAATCCCACGCGATTTCGTCACCTCTGCGTTGCAAACGAGCCATTTTTCCATTTTCTTGACAGCGGGAAATTTTCAGAAAAAAGTTTGCCACAACCTTCAGTCACATAATTTTTCAATGAAACTCCTAATTTAACTCCTACAGGCTTGTTCCACATACTTACCAAGTTTCATACCATATCGTCATGTGCTCGTTGCAAACGAGCCATTTCAATTCGCATCTTCATTTACCAATTTCGCAAAATTTTCGGAAAAATGCTTATTACTCGTTCCGTTCACATAAGTTATTCATAATTTTTCATACTTTGTTTCCACTAGCCTCCCTCCGTTCGCTTACATGGTGCCATATCGTCACGCATACATTGAGAACTAGTCATAATTTTCAACGACAGAGGTGAGAGTTGGTACAGCGGGCAAGTATGCCGTCCCAATATTATCGGTCTACATATATAGATAAACATAATATCCGCAATTAGAGTGTTCTGCAATCATTCAAGGCGACTTTCGGAAAAGTATACGGTCCAAATCTAGGACGATATCTATGAGGATGTGAGTTCTTAAGCTTATAGGGCGATTAATACAGATGACCACCTTGCTTAAGCATGGTCTGGTAGCACTGTCTCTAGTGATGTCGAATCACAAAAAAAGAGCAGGTAAGTTTTCCAGCAGATACACGAATAGCGCAGGCACTTTCAGGAACTTGCATAGTATCCAGCATTCTCTCACCACAGCCCCACTAAAATGTGTTTACGGCGAACAAAGAATTTGAAGAGCTATATATTTTCGCGATCAGCGTGCCCGAAATCCGGAGAAGTTTCCGGTCAATCCAAGAACATCAATATTTTAGCCGAAACCCGTTCGTGAGCAGAGCTGAAACGAGAAGAAAACCGAAACAGGATTTCTTAGAGAACTTGCGCATAGAGGTTATCTAGCCTCTTCTGATTACAAAAAACACACCTGCTTTGCAAATTGTGACTGTGGGGTTACGGCAAGTGAAATTTGAACAGGAATTTTTTCGGGATTCGCCGGCCTATCCAAGGCCCGGCACAGTTGGTTTGGGGTCAAACTGGACTTCGTTTTCAAAAGTCCTCCAAACCAACGCGTACCGGGGCCTGGGCTTATCTCTCTGGAAAAAAGTCTCCGCAAATCGTCGGTGCATGCTAAACTACCGGGACAACTCTACCAAACTCATGCTTACTAAAGTCCTTTAAGTGTGTTTTGCGCTGCGTTACACCATTGCGAATACCCATCCCCACAATAAAAATCGAGCAGACTGAAAACGGAATAAGATAGTGTAGCATAGCATAAGAAACTGAGCACTACAAATTTTTCGGATTGGTTTTTCATGCTATCTGAAAGAAGTTATGGAGAAAAAAACGAAAAAACTCGAATCGTCAGTTTTTGCGTCTTCTGTCGAATAATTAATGGTACTGTAGAACGCGTTCGGCGGATGCTCGCAAGGGGTATTGAAGACTCCAAACTTATCCTTACATTCTCCAGTTCTATCAAGTGAGTAAGAGAACTTGAAGAGAGTATACAGAGAATGAAGCAAATTTGACACAAAACGGTAAAACTGCGCAGGTGTGAGCCTTGCATATTAACAAGTTTTCTAAGGCCCCGGAAAAACTTCGCGATTTGATCGTCGCGACTCAGTCGCCAACATTTCCATTCATTTTCATTTCACATTCAAAAATTTCGGGCTGGAAAAGTATCACAACCGAAATGCAAGTTGATCGGCATGGAATGATGTTGTAACAGTTGTCTCTTCGCGATTCAGTCGCGACGATCAAATCGCGTGAAGTTGCCCAGGCCTGATACATATCATTTTTGGGGGCTAACATCACAACCGGAGTAGTATAGTTACAATAGGAATCAAGTACTCTCAAATACAAATATGTTTACGATTCTATGAGCTAAAACTTTCAAACAACAGAACGCGAGGTGCTTCATTTTCATTTGATAGCTTGCGGCGGTCGCTCTATGGCAAGGTGTATCCTCTTCATCGATGTTTGCGAACATTGATGCAATGGAGCCATTTCAGTACAAGATCCGAACGCTCGGAAAGGAGCAAAACGAAGAAGAAGAGATCAAGAAGAAGCGATAGCGAGAGAAGCGAGAGAAGCAGCAGAAGCAGGAGTAGGAGAAGACGTGAGATAACTTGCCCATAGAAAGCGGCTTTGAAAGTAGTTGTTGTGTTTTGCAGAACATAGGTCGTCGAGATCGGGAAGAAGCGGTTCTAAGAGCCATAGATCTTCGAAAAGGTCTTCGAAATCACACAAAAGCAAGCGAAGTTCAAGAAGATCGCGGCGATCACGCAGATCTGAAAGGAGCAGGGGAAGGGTAGGCAATCTAATGCTTTAGCGCCACCATCAATGGATCTATGACCTCGGTCTCAGATAGTCGTCTCATCCAGAGTTTTCGTAAAGGGTCCAAGCATTAAAAAACTTACCCCCCCCCGCCTCTTCCTTACTCCGCCCAGCTTCGCTTGTATGGAGTAGGCGACCCTTCCACCGCACATGCTACTGTGATTAAAGAAATGAACGAAGAGATTGCCTGCTGAGCCGTTGCCATTAGCGGTCGGTAGCTTACATTCAAAAAACTCTAGCTGAGAAGCGGTAGGCTACCTAAGAAACGGGTACAGGAATATGTGTTTTCGGTACTTTTCCGTTATCCGGACCCATTTTTTCAAAGAAGGATACTGCTTTTTTCCTTGCACCATATTTGTTCCCAACTTCATAGGGAAGAGTGTCAACCTTCTGCCCGTGTCAAAAAAATTCGACATGCCATCTACATGTTTAACGAGTTTTACCAGGAGTTCATGTTGCCCTACCTAGCGATATAAGTTCAACCTTTTTTGGTCAATAATGACCCTATTTTCGATTAGACAATTCCAGAAATGACATTGTTATAATAATAACGTCGCCCTCTTATCAATGAACATACTAGACATGCCCAGAATAGAAAAGTGCGCTAGGGTTCCATCGTCTAAGCGGCGAAAAGCAGCAGCGAGGTGCTACTTCAAGCCATCATTTGTAGACTTTTCTGGCTAAACTCGCATGGCTGAAAGTTTGAAAAGAAATACATTCTTGAACCATTGTTAGAAGCAATCAAGATATTCTAGTAATGGCTCTAGATTGTTTTGCTCTTATATAAATCAGCTTGAAAGCTTCTAAGTGGTTACAAATGCTCTTTTACCTCACCGGAAATGATTTTGAAAAAACATGTCAAAGTGGGCTAGAACGTGTCAAATTTTTCCTGACACGTGGCGGGGAGGCAGTCCTCGTAAAATCTATGAAAATTTGTACCTGGACTACAGAACGTATTTTATAAGAGCTTTTTGAAAAAATGGGTCCGGATAACGGAAAAGTACCGTGTTTTCAAATAAGGAGTGGCCTTGGAACGTTATCATAAAAATCAATCGTTCATCTTCTTCGACCGCGATATCTACACTCTGTGTCAACCGTGCTCTTTTCGCCGTAGCAAATACGCATGCGCAGGGGTCATTGCGCAGCGATCTCCGATCGATGGCAAGTTTGAACGCACAAGCGGTACGTCCCGAACGAGGCATGAGGCTCTAACGTTGCGCTTAGCTGTTTGCAAAAGGAGCACATCATTGACACAGACTTATCTCTCTGCTCGCATCACTACTGCCATACTCCGGAGCCAGATGCGAAAAGCGTATCTATGTTCTCAGCTAATCCATCCATTCGATTCATTGGCTTCGCCAGCGATTTACTCCAGTTTTTGGAGCCTACGGGCCACATCTCCCTACGGTGCAATAGAAGTATGGAATTCCTTTGCAATGTATCGCAAAGAAATTCCGTATTTCATCGCTGACCCATAAACGGGATTGCTCTCATGTATAAACTGCGACTACTGTACCAGTGTGTCTCCAAAGAGCCGGGCATACATCACGCGATTTTATCACTCCGCGATTCTCCCAACTGGACAAGTGACACGAGTTCATTGCATGCCAATCATCTTGTACTCCGTTGTGATAGTTTTCCGAAGCGACCAATCGAACTAATTACCACAAAGAAATGAAAGATGATCGGCATGCAATGAACTCGTAACAGTCGTCCTGCTAGAAGAATCGCGAGGCGATGAAATCGCGTCATGTATGCCCGGCCTCTACAGTTCTTGAAAATTAATGGCGACATCCGACTGAGTCGCAATTGGCTGCCTGAGTCAACCAGCCAATTGCCACCAAAATGGTGAGCGACTCCACCCATACAGTATCCTGCAGCCAATCGCTGTTTTCGGTGGCTCTCTCCATCCCTACAGCAACCTCCAAGGTCGGAAAACGCCTTGAACACTTCTACAGTTTTGAGAGACTTCAAGCACAGTCCTGGACCGAGCTTCCAGAAGGTCAAAAGCAATGAAAAGCTCACAACTTTTTCCAGCCAATGCCTCTAACGACGAAGGCAGTTACAATATAGCTGTGGCAGTCCTCAGCGAATCGTCAATTTCATATGCACTTGAACAAGCATTAAATTTAGAACACTATCAAGCTCATCTACAAAAAAGGGCATCGCTATGTGAAAATCACAGACTTCGTTGCTGTGTCTCAACTCATAAAACAGGTATTCCGTTTACGGACAATAAGACCATCCAACTAACACTATCCGTTTCCAGCATCAAGTGACTGGACGAGTTCCGCGCTCTATCGATCTCACTGATTATTTTGATACGACCATTACAATTCTAGCTGACTACATCGAAAAAGGAGAGATAAAAGTATAAGATTGGCTTTATGTGTTCGAATGTTTATTGTTCGTGTTTAAGGCTAAAATATCATTCTACGCTTTGGCAGAGCTACTGAAGCTCACAAAGACTTTTGTGATGGAAGATCTACAAAGGCGCCTTGAAGAGGTGAAATTTTCCACTTGTAGACACTTGCCTATATTCTGATCAAAGTTTGAGATTACTTATTGCCCTATGAATTGCAGATCCTTATTTTGACCGCCGATACTTCTACCGATCATCTCATACAAGCGGTTCTTGTAGCTGGCACATCAAACATTACAAAAGAGGTAAACACGCCCAAACAGCAGAAACAGAAGGGTGATCTCGGTTGCAGACGGAGAATGCCCTGCATTATCTCGCCGCTTGGAGTTTTGTGGAAATGGCCAAGTTACCGGACTTCCAGCGCATTCCGTACCACCAGTTTGTCATGCTTCTAGCCAGGTAAGCCAATAGATCTGGGAATGTCAAAACTTTAGGCACTCAGCTCTCTCCCTTATACCCACTCCGTCAGCGCAAATTCGGACAAGGGAATGCATATGGTTTGACCAATCCAACCATGCTGCGCATCAATGCACTTGCTTTGAATGATCTGCTAAGCGTATGGAAAGAGTTATGATACTTCAAACATGACAACATACTCAAGTCCCAGTGAACAACGTTCGTTAGAAGGCAGCCTGAGGGTGTTAATCGCAATGATCATGGGTATCCCATTACAGAGAAGCACACTTACTAGAAACCTGAATAAGGTTTTAGAAGGTTCTCCTTGGAACATGCGGAAGACTTAATAAATCTTCACTTTAAACGCTCATAACTCCTTCCAAATAAACATTAGCGGATAATGAGAGTGCGAACAGCTTGTCCTGAGTTGGTCGGACCAAGTTCTGACATTCCCTCGAGCCTTTCGAAAGGCGCATTTAGCCTCTAACCATAATCATTTCTCCACCGATCGTTTGGCTTACAGCTGCGAGCTACATGTTGCTCATGAAGTCGTCGCTGCTGATGCCGCTCTTCTATGGCTTGTCGGTCAACCTCATCCAGCTGTTTACGTGCCTGGTGTATTTTCCGTGGTAACTAATTTTCAACTTTGCCGTAAGACCATTATTCAAAATTCGAACTGCACTCAGATTCGTTCCGCTTATCTAAGTAAAGTAGATCGTCAGCTCATCGTAGAACGCATCGCTACTCTGCAAATGCCGGAATCGGTATGCCTGGGCCATAAGCGAAGTGAATGCTTAACTTTTTTCATGCAGGTGGCTCGTTTCGCCAAAAATTCGATGGAGTCAAAGCATAGTAGCCGAATCTGCCTTGAAGGAACACACATCAATCGTCATCTAGTCCGTTGTGGTATACCAGATCCTGAGAAACGTCCGAAAGAGACACAACTAGTATTGAGTAGACCACGTGAGGGGATCAAATGGAGTGAGAAGAGTAAGCGCTATAAGCAGAAGAAGCTCGGAGGGTTCGCTTCTATATGATATTATGTCTTTTCTAGACCTAGAAGAGCAGAAAAAATCGAGGAGATCGAAAAGATCGAGAAGATCCAAGAAGTCCAGAAGTAGAAAGGTCATTGGAAACCATTTTCTCCTCAAGTCTTTCGAAACAAATGTTTTGCAGGGTAGAAGAAGCAGCCAAAGCAAAAGATCTAGCCGCAAGAGTAGATCGCAGCGTTCATCAAGAAGTAAACGGTCGCCAAAGTAAGTAGAGTGATGAATCTCATTAACAATTTTGATTAAGGGAATAATCGAGGTACAGTCTGTGTCAATCGTAAACTTCCTTTTCCGCACGCGCATCGTCACATCAACGCCTCGCGCAACGTCCGTGGGCGAGCAACATGACCATACAAGTCGGCTTCATTGATCGCAGGTCGCAACGCAAGGCTCTTGCGCTGGAATGCTCATCCTTAAAAGAACTGGCTGATTGATACAGACGATAAACAAAGTGTGAAAGTACTCAAAGTTGCCCCATGAAGCTCATTTTTATGGAAATATACAGCCATTCTACATCGCACACTTGTGCTAATGAACAAATATTGCTCAATTCTTTTTCAGATCGGAAAGATCCGGATCAAAAAGCAGGCGCTCGAAAAGAAGCAGTAAATCGTCAAAAAGACGTCACAGATCTAGCTCAGAAAGACGTCGCAGCAGGCGTGAAAGTAGAAGCAAAAGCAAGAGGAGCCAAAAATCAGAACGTAGTAATGGAAATGGTGAAGGTAGGAAAAAACGCGCCAAAGAGGGCGAAGAATCGGGGTGAGGAGTAATCTAGCTCTGGACTTGGTCTGATAAAAAATCAATTCCAGGAGCGAAAGAGGCGAGAAAAAGCGTGGGAAGAAAACGAGGGACGAGTAAATCTCTTTGACAAAGCCACTGATACAGCGTAGATGAAATTTGATGTAGTAAAGCAGTATGTAGCTGTATTAAAGCTGTTGCCCAGGCGTGAATGCGTAAAATTTTCCTCGAAAAGACATCTATGTAGGTATTAACATCTACTGTATCACATGCTGAAAAAGGAAGTAATCATCTTAACATAAACAAAAACAAAAGCATTTGACGTTGAAGACGACGTCTGACAACGCAAGGACGTTTAGTTCTGCAAAACTCGAAATTCTTGCTTCAGAATTCTCAAAGCTGAGCAATGCAAAGAGTTCGAGGCAAATCCTGCTAAAGCACCTTCTGCTATCTACGAAAGATTTTTTGAACGTAATCCACAAAGAATATTTATGATGGCGAAGGTGTTGGAAATGGCTACGAAAATTCCTACTGACACCGTTGCGAATTATCAACTTTTCTTCAACGACTGTCAATCGTCAGGGGTTGAGAAAAATGGGTGTATGTCAAGAGGCGCGATTTTTATTGCCAGATCGACATTAAATAGCGCATTTTTACATTTTATGACGTTCTAGGAGCGATTCAAATTTCTAACAAAATATGCGTGAATGTCTCATGGAAAGCTCAATCTTATCATCTTGAAATAAATTCAAAACATAAGTCTTGGAGGTCAATACCCGTCAAAATACAAACATTGGCGTTTTCGTGAATATCTCAAACGAGTTTTTACCAGAAGCCGTCAAACTTATTAAGTGGTAGCTTCAGATGCTTAGTAAGCTAGGACATTTTGTCTGGTATTCTTGAAAGACTCGCATAGGTCTAAATTGAGCTTTTAAGTTGGTGACTTCTAAAAAAATCGCGCCTCTTGACCGTCTCCCTAGGAAAATTTGTGACACAGAAGTCGCTCCCGTCAATGATGGAGCCGTCATACTCAGCTGTAAATTTGCGATCAATTGGGTAAATTTGCATGAAGTTCGTAAAAACTTGTTGTCCCGAATGTTGTGCTGTTTTTTGAGGAGCAATTCACGTAAGCTTATATCCAGACTGATTTGTCTTTGAATCGCTCAAGTAATTGCCGCAGCTGCGAACCAATTCTTTACCTCAGGCAATGTTAGGTAATTTTCACTATTTTGACCCCCTACCCTATGGACGAGATTGACAATCTTCAAAAAAGCTGATGAATTTGGCGGATAATTCCTTTTAGCTTCTATAGTAGTCTGTGAAGAACCAAATATCGATCTGATAATATTTTAAAAGTGACCAAATACCAGATTTCGTCAATTTAAATCTCGTCAAACGCCAATTCGTAGATACCCCTGCAGGTGCAAAAGAATCTTGTGGGACTGATTCATGCTAATGAATATATTGTAATCAGAAGCCAAAATTCAAAACTAGTAGATATTGCAAAACACCTCTTCCTTTTGAGATTGATTGTCAAAGTTAAACTTCGAAAGATTCAAATTTTCGAAATTCTAAAGAGAAGAGACTGATGTAATTAGATACGGGACTACCAGCAATCAATCAAAACAATGTGAAGAAATTAGTGTAAAAACTTTGCTCCGTACAGCATATCAAATTTTTGCAAGATCTAAATCTCGAATTTTTGCTATTGACTTAGTTGCAATTTGAAAACAAATTTTTAGAATAGACAACATTTGAGTGAGCATCAGGGCATTTTGCTATGTATCTCTCGCATCGAAGCACTGTTGAAAGTTCTTCTACATTTTTTATCTGTAGGCTGTAAAAGAGGAGCCACCATCCGACACAAGCCCTTCTCTTCGTTGCCAATTTGCGAGCTACAACTTAAACTTTACTGCAGTTATAAGGTAAGGCTGCGTGCAGCTCTAGCACGGTACTGGCACGACGCTGGTACAGCTGCACCACACCGGCCACTCTGTGCGCCGTGAAAGTAATGTAAGAACGTCTTGCCAGATACTGTGAATTAGCTTGCGTATCAGAAGAAAACACCCCGCTTCCTCGAGAGTTATAGATCCTTGTCCGCGTAAAATGCAGAACTGGTTTTATTTTGTTGAGATACACTCTTGTCACAATCAATGCGACAGAGATCAATATATGATGAGGGCACATATAGAAATTACAAAAATAGGAAATCAGCCCGTGAGCGAACGATATCACAAGCATTGAAAAAACTGGGCACTGAAAAAATTTGACAAGGCGGACAGATTGAAGAAGTGCCAAGTGAAGTGGATTAGGTGAGGTAAAGAAAGAGTCAAATTACAGCAAGCTAAGATACTATGGAACCGGAGAAAAATTGCGATGCCATGCAAAGACAAGGGTGGTGTTAGAAAAGTGTAAAGGGCTAAAGGGGCTAGACAATCTGTAATAGACTATGAATCGAAAACAGTAATGCACAGGCTGATAGAATTCTGAAAAATGCAAGAATGTGAACTTTGAACATTATTTCAGGGGAGAAAACATAGAGATCGGCGTACGATGCTCAATGGCAGCGAGCTGCGAGCAGGATGCAGCTATGTCAAGATGCTCACTTGAGTTGAACCGTTTCAGTGTAAACTGCGACATAGATCTCCTTCTAAGGAACTTTATGGGAACCGGAACGTTACCACTGTCACGTGCTCTAAACTTCGAAGTTGAGGCACACCGGAGTGGAAAATTCAATAGCAGAAAAACTAACAGAATATTGACTGACTTTGCCAATGCCTTCGCATGTGCCAGAGACGCTCCACAATCCGATGATCCAGATCCGATTGCACTATCATCATAAGCTTGTTCACGTCGTCCAGCTGTTGCCAAACACACCATTGACCTGAAGTTCAGTAAAAGAAAAGATATCTGCAAGACACAAACATTCTTCATAAAAGCAATGAGTCACTGTTCCATCAAATTTCGGGATGGCTGTACTTGACGGTACAATTACAGCCCATGTCAATCGCTACCTCCTTTTGAGCCGGCGCGATCGCAAAAGGTTTGCGTCACCTTCGCGCGCGTTCAGCTTGCGCATTCAAATCGGCCCCATCCGCTAAGGGTCCGCCCTCTCAGAAAGACTACTGATAACAGGAGAGCTATTACCATTGTGGTACGTTCCGGAAGCAAAATATTAGTCATAGCTTCTTTAAGCGGTCCATATCTTCAAAATCGCAACTTCTCACAATATTCTTGTAACAAGCGTCTTAGTTAGTTATTACGTTAGCAGTTTCCACTTCGCATTTTGATAGTTTTTCTCAAAGAAAATATAGCAGCTATGTAAGGAAGACAGATGGAAACATTGATATGGATAGTAACCTTCCCTTCTGAAAAGTCGGCTACCTATTATTGGCACTGTTTGCTATTCACAAACAAAAGAATGCAAATAAACGAAAAAAAAAACTACAAATACAGATCAACAACGTCTCGTCTTACCCAGCTATATTTCTATTCTTCAGCAGAATCTCCTCCACGGCCGGTTTTGCAGCACTTCGTGTTACTGCCGGTGGTGCTTCAGATACAGTTTCCGGAGTGACGTCACCCACATGCTGTGGACCATTTCCGTTGGCTGCTGGATTACGACCTTGACGAGAGCACTGAAACACGAGGTCCCCAATTGGAAAATGCTTATTTTGACATATAAGGCTTACCAGCAATGCATATTCTTTGTCGGTGGGATGAATAAATTCGCAACGAAGTCCGTATGGGCAATAGTTGGACGAATAGGGGCCAAAATTTTTACACAGTTTTGTTTTGTATCGTGAATTCAGCTGACGCTGTGGCTGCTAAAAAGATATGCGAGACACCAACGGAGAACACCGTATTCGCTCAAGGAAATTGACTTACTGTCTCGGCTACTCGAAGTTCCTCTGGTCCATGCGCAAATTTGCAACGGCTACCCATTTCACACTGTCTTCCAGACGCATAGGTCATGCACATTTTAGTCTTGTAGTTCGATGCAGGTGGTGCAGGACGTCGTTGGCGAAAAGCGCGCTAGAACAGAGGCATAAATAATTTTCCGTACCTTCAGTCAAGTTCCCTACATCGTACTCCCTTTCGTTGAAAACTTCGAGTGTCGTGTCTTGTTCCTTCCTCAGAGACCACAGATATCTTCGAGAGGTTGGCAAGTAAATCATCATGATCCAGTTGTGGATTCCTATACCGGCAAATTGCAGTTGCGAAACTCAGAAGCACTCAGCACCAACCTGTGGTACTTTACGTGGGCATTTCCTGGATACTGCATTTGATTACCCATTTATGGAGGAATTTGTATGTACTCTGTTGGTAAAGGTGTGGATGTACTCAGCGGGCGAACAGCCGGCTTCGGTTTGGTCACTAGGTTGCGTATTCAAAGCAGGAAAAAAACTTTGCAGATATACTAATAGAAATAAAGTACTGTAACATCAATCTGAACGAGAACTTACTTTCAGCGGCCACTACGGTATGTGGCTGAGCTATCTATGGTGTCATCGCAATCGTTGGTTGCATATACATTTCAGGTGAGTAGAAGATTGGTGTAGCTGTGGCTGCCGCCGGTGTCGCCGTAGGAACCGAGTAGTATACTTGCGCGGTCGGAGATGGCATATAGATAAATCCCGGCTGCCCTAAAAACTATCATAGTGTCATGACTAATTACTACTACGCTAGTCCAAAATGGTATACTCTAATTTTCACGCACTGAATTTCCTTTCTTCAACCCATCCTATCATCTGTTACCCTCACCTTCCGACAAGGTTCTCTTATCTGGAGTAGATTTTAGCTAAGGCTTTGAACTCTTTTTTTAGCAAAAATTAGACTTTAGCTGAAGCACTGAACTTTACGGAACATTCGTCGCATTTTTGGAAATTACTTCGGGTAATAAGAATGTGCAAGTGACTATAAACTTGTAAATAATCAACATAATTTTCTAAAAAAATTTTAAAAATTTAAATTAGCCCTGTAAAACAAATTTTCGGAGTGATCGCACTCATTTTTTAAATGAAGTGCGTGGCTAACACCACGTGATTCATTCGAAAAAATTTTTGCCGTCCCTCCCCCCTCCCCCCCCCCGGACGCAAATCCTGCGACCGCCACTGCTGAGGACTCATTATTCTACGCACCAAAGTTACAGATACATGAATACAGCTCATGTCCCACGGAAATGAGGTGAATTGATAGGGTAAAGGGTCATACCAAGCCGAGCTTCATTTTTTTTATCAGTGATTCAACCACGGGAAGAGGATTTTATTCTGCCAGTGGATTAGATAGAGACTTATTCGCCCGCAGAGACAGGGCGCCATTGCGGACGTTGTCGGCATCTCGCTGATATCGGACTAGCTAATATCAATCCGACTACTTGCTGTCCCTCCCGAACATGTACTACTTTACTCGGACGCAGCGGCGTTTATTCTCTGCAATGATTTGCCTGCACCGTCAAAGCAGCAAAAAGACGAGTAGGAGATGTGGAGAGAGCGCAAAATAAGGTTTCGAGCATTGTGACACCATGCTACACTCGTTTTCCAAATCGTTCAAGGTGAGTTTAAAGGCAATGTCCGGGCAAAAACTCGATTTTGAGATTTTGTGCTTATACGGGCCTATTCGCCATGCTGAATCCAAAAAATCCACATTGGAAAGCGCGAAAACGGCGAAAAAGGGCTCTAATATAGGAGGGAAATCAGCGGGTGGGCGGGGCTTTCCCCAGTGCGATTTCACGCTCCCAGCTCCCGGAGCGATTTTCTCGATTCCCTTAGCCGTTCTAACATCGCTACCGGCCAAGTGCGAATGATTGACTTGAAACCGGAAGCGAGAAGGTCGCTCCGGAAGCAGGGAACGTGAATTCTCAGTGGGGAGGACCCCGCCCACCTGCTCATTTTCCTCCTGTGTTAGAGCCGTTTTTCGCCATTTTCGCGCTCTACAATGTGCATTTTCGGATTCAGCGTAGCGAATAGGCCCAAGTAAGCACAAAATCTCAAAATCGACTTTTTGCCCGGACACTGCCTTTAAACGGATAATTTCGGAAGGTAAATTTCTTTTAAAATAAAGTTTGGAACGTCTTGGCTTCTTCGGCCTTACTGAAGCTATTGAACCTAAAGCTGTAAACCTAGCACTTCGTGATGTTTAAAGCAGTTTTTTGCCTCTAGCCAAACCTTTGGCCTCCGCACATTAAGAAGGCATCAGCGGGGAGTGGGGAGTGGGAATGTACGAATACTGTAGTGCTTTGAAACTACAGAACTCCCACCTCTGCCTGGACATTGCATCGCAATATCGAAACAAGTGTTTGATAAAAGTAGACGATATTCTCAGAACTCTTTTTCTGGAATATCAAATTTGCTCAGGCCCTCATCTAGTACATAATTTTTGTCCCGGACCTGTACTCCACAAGTCCTTATCAGATCCTGGAAGTGCGATACTGCATAAGGCCATTGTGATCTAAACGTCCTAAGCATCTTACAGTTTGCATATCAGCTTTTAGTAGTTCAGTATACACTAGGAAGTTTGAATCCAAGGCTGGCTGTGTGATGTGTTTCGATCTGCGCTAGTCAGCCAACAAATAATTACATTACCCACAATTTCAACAATCGCTGAACAAAAACGAGCGAAAAGCTCCTGTTTACGCCCCCTTTTTTGCCATAAATAAAGGCTAAAATCACCAGTAATCTATCCTGAGACTAAGCAACACATTTGCGCTTCGCGCATATGCGATTGACGGACAATACTTGTATTTCATCTCATTTTGAATGATTCACTGACTGCGATGAAAGAAAGTAATACAAAGTTTTCTAGACATTTTTAGAAAAAGACGGTGAAAGGAATTCGACATTTGCTTAATTCGCATCATTTGTGTATTGTGGGCTATAACTTCTTGTAGAGCAGATACCTGCAAATCAAACGATTTCCACTCATTTTGCCTCAGTAATTATCATCCGTGATCGCGACAATCATAATGTTTTACAGACAAAACTTGATCAGCACAAACTTGGCACTATTAGAAAGAGCAGCTTACAAAGACACATGTTTCCAAATGCTTTTGCAGTGCTACCATTTTTTGACGATCTATTTTCCAAAATCCAAAGTGGTAGTGGGTCTCCTATTCGAATTTTTATCTTTGGAGCCACTTGTCGTCAAGCAGCCGCAAAAATGCTGTTAGAAAGTAGATGAATTTTTTGAATGAATTTTTCATTCATCTGGGGAGCAGCCAGAATTCAAAAAAATTTTCAAAACAACAGAACTCTTGGTTCAACCTAATAATTGTAAAGATACAGAAAATACGGAACCGTTTTCTTGTCTGGGTACATATTGTGCCTTCCCACACTTACTCCGCATATCTCCTCGGTACTAGTGCTTGTTTTTTTTTTTGAAAGTTTTCCGCTACTTCTTGTCTCATATATCATATCAAATTCCAGTAATCTGGTAGCGAGAAAGTGGATTATTTAAAAATTGCTGAAGTGGTACTCTATTTACGAACCTATTTCCCAAAAAGCGATAGCCATTTGAATTGGGATGCCGCTCTGTCGACTGGAGAATAATCGGCAATCTTTCAATTTTATCGGGAAGGAGGGTGAAGACGTGAATAGCCAAAGAAATTTTCCCGGATGCTGGGAGAGGGGAGGGGATACAGGAAAAAGACCAATGGTACAAAATAACAAGATCAAGAAAACTGAGTAAAATAAAGCGTGTACGAGAACATGATTTTAGATTGAGAGAAATAAGTAGATAACAGTGGACCGACAAGAGGAGAGGGCGGAGGTAATTTTGAAAACTTGCAGCCTACGTGGAATTTTGAAGTAAAAAGTGACTTGTTTCCGCTCGTATATAATTTCTCAACTTTCAAAAACAAAACGTCTTATACGGTGTGCAGTTCAAAAAGTCAAAGAAACAATGTTTTGACACTGACCCTCTTGCAATTTCCTATCTGATACGCTGCTTCTGTGATGGATGCATTCCTGGCTCCAGTGTAAATATTCATTAAAAATTTATTTATCACTACCAAGAGATAATAAATAAGAGAAAGTAATCAAGCTTGGAAGAAAAGAAGTTTCAGAGTAATAAGAAGCAGTATGAGGAGTAGCTATGTAGTGTGTTTTCAAATTAAATTATTGTTTCCGCTAGAAGGCAGAGTCTGAACAGATTCGGACCTAGATCATCCAAATGCTGGTTTCTTTTTGAATTTTAGGAACTGATTGGAACATTTCAAGCGCCACATATAATTTACTCGTGGCAGAGAATCAAACCCAGGTGGGTTCTCTAGCGCCCGAGTAAATGTTGTCGGTTTACTCGAAGAAATTACGGTTTGGGAGAGAAGAGAGGGCGTAGAATTGAATTATTTATACACGACTGCATTATGTATGTAAGGCTTCGAAAAGGTTTCCGTAAGAAGAAAATAGGTTTAAAATTTGCTTTGGGACTAAATTTACAAAATATATCTTTGGTTTTAAAATTTCCTCGAAGCTATGTATTAGGTTGATGCAAACAAAATGGCCGATTTTCCAAGCCTTTTTTCAGGGTAACTTTTTCCATCAATACTTGTTCTTTACAATGGATATAGTATATTGTCGCGAAGCTGTTTTCATGCTCTATCTAACGGCGCTTGTAAAGGGCTCTCATTCTTATCTCTTATTAAGTTGCTGAGCTTCAAATAACCGCATCCAAAATCAAAATTTCAATTGCATTCACTTTTCCAGAAAAAATTCAAGCGCGTATTAATGGGATTTCTTCGAAAATTTAGCTATTGTATGTAATAGAAATTTTCTACATTATGCATGCTTAACTGCATTCTTTGAAGTTATTCAGACTGAGATATCGGCTCCTAATCATGGGTAGCTGTTGCGGTCATTTTATGATCCATAATTTTCTTCTGAAGAAGTCAATCGCCAAAGCTTTGCTCAATTCTGCAAGCGTAGAGCTAGGACATTTATTAGCAGTTTTTGCAAGAACATCGGCTGTTCAGTACGTAGAAAATCAGAAAATTCTATATTCCGGACTTTGAGGCACACTGAAAAAATGTTTAAAAAACTGAGAAATTTTAAATTTCAATTTTTTCTTTCTCGCAAACTTTTTTGTCCGATTTCTTTTTATTGGATTAGGTCATTTCGAAAGTAATTTCGCTTTTTTCAAACGGGCGCCACATCTGATGGAACAAAGGTCCCTAAGAGATCTTGGA